AGGAATAGGTATGGCATTATATTAGAAAAGACACTGCTAGTTTAAGCCAAGAGGAGAAAGTAGAATGGAATGAAAGAAGGCTGCCAGCCTCCTTGAATTCTGTAGGATTGCACCATGAAGCTAGCTGCTTGGCTGTGAACATGTACTATTCTTCAGGGAAAGGGAAGAATGACCCAAAGGTGACAGAGACATCAGGTTGCTCTTCCCACCACAGGTCCAGTGGGCAAGGCTATTCCCTCTTGGGCTTCAAAAGTGAGGCTGCTTCTCTAGATTTAGAGGGCCAGGATGATTGTGAGCAGCATCTCAGGGCTGGAGCCACCTTGCAGAGCCACAGGGCTGATGCTGCCACCACACTGGACCAAGAGTACAAACCAAGGAGGATTATTCTCCAGTCTTAAGGTTGAAGGGAAATTGACTTGCTAGATTTTGAGTTTTTGGGATCCACCGCTCCTTCTTTCCATCCTCTAATTTTTCCCTTTTGGAATGGGAATTTCAACACCATGACTGGGATTTTAGAATTAATTCTGAAATAAGACTTTTGAGGTTGTTGGAATGTGTTCTGTATGTGAAAATATGTATTTGCATGAATTTGAGAGGGTGGAGGACAGAATGTGATGGACTATATTGTTTTCCCCAACTCCAATTCATATGTTGAAGCCCTAAACCTCAATGTGACTGTACCTGGAGATAGGGCCTACAAAGTGGTAATTAAGGTTAAATGAGGTCCTAAGGTTAGGGCCTTGTTATGTTTTAGATATGAAGCGTCCTCCAAAAGCTCATGTGTGAGATAATGCAAGAAAATTTAGAGGTAAAATGATTGGGTTATGAAAGCTATAGCCTAATCAGTGCATCCAGCTTCTGATAGGTATTAGCTGGGTGGTAACTATAGGCAGGTAGGGTGTAGCTGGAGGAGGTGGGTCACTGGGGTTGTGCCTTTCGGGTATATATTCTGTCCCTGAAGAGTGGAGTGCTCTCTCTCTCTCTCTCTCTCTCTGCTTCCTGATGGCGTGTCCCCAGCTGCTTTCCTCTGCCACACTCTTCCGCTATGATGTCTTGCCTTACTTTAGGCCCTAAGGAATGGAGTCAGCCATCTATGAATGGAGACTTCTGAAACCATGAACCCCAAAACAAACTTTTCTTCCTCTAATTGTTCTTGTCAGGTCTTTTAGTCACAACAGTGAAAAAGGTGACTAACATAGGCCTAGCTACAATAGAACTGGTGTCCTTAAAAGAAGAGATACAAGAGCAAGAACATTCGTTTCCTCTTGCTCTCTCCCAATCATGTGAAGACAGAGAGAAAGCAGCTATCTATAAGCCAGGAAGAGCCCTCACCCGAAATGAAATAAGTTGGAACCTTGATCTCAGACTTTTCAGCCTACAGAAATATGAGAAAATTCATTTCTGTAGCTTAAGCCATCCAGTTTATGGTATTGTTATGGCAGCCTGAGCAAACTAAGATAATGCACAAAATAAAGATTTTTGTACTCTGTGATTGCAGTGGATTGGTAGGGGTAGGGTAGTATCCTTTGACTTTCAGATTGCTAAATTCCAACACTGACTTCCTTTTGCCAACATTTTAAGAGAGAGTCACACCTATTAGCCTATTCTAATTTCCAGTAATATGGGAAGGGATATTTTAAGAAGGCAATCAGGGGCTGGGATTGTGGCTCAGCAGTAGAGCACTCGCCTCACACGTGTGAGACCCTGGGTTCGATCCTCAGCACCACATAAAAATAAATAAATAAAATAAAGATAATGTGCCCATGTATAACTAAAAAAAAAAATCTTAAAAAAAAGAAGGCAATCAGGAGAAACAGTTGTTTCATATGGGCTGATTGCTGGTCTCTTTTGCTTATCTCTGCAAAAGAGGGTTCTCAGCATCCTCATAGTTTATTATTCTAAGACTGTACAGTAAATTGGGCACCTCTAGAAACACACAGAGGGTCTTCAAAGAGACATTTATATTCAGCATTTAGTGTAAAACATCCTTTCTCGAACCTGCCAACAACTCCCAGTATATAATCACTTGCCACCTGTTCTTTCGAGATTGCTTTTGCATCATTACAAGCAAAGAAATCAATACCAGACCATTGATTTAGGAAAGAGACAAGATTGCATGGCAATAATACATAAAGTTAGTCAAGCCCTACTTCTCAATTGTTTTGAAAGAACAGATAGTTCAGTGCCCCTTTCTGAAATAGGTACTCATTCTGCACTGGTGATCTTGTAGCAATAAAGACTCAAGGTAGATAAGGCACCATAACCCCAATTGATATAACCGCTCTTGAGTGCTACACAGAATCTCGAAATGCCTTTTAGACTCAATAGTAATAAATTAACAGGAGCAAGATTCCTTCTCTGCAGTTTTCCCTGTGGTTTAATTTTAAAAGTATAGGCTGGACCCCACAGAGTCACTGCTAGCACCACAAGATAGTCAATAGGTATAGATGCTGCAAGTGTGGAGAGCAGCCAACTGAGGATCTGGTCCAAATGTACGTTCCGTCTTGATAGATAGGTAAGGTCAATTGTTTACCTTATCCATTAATTTACCAAGATACCATCTGGACTTTCTAAGCCAAATTAACATGTAAAAGCCAGTTAGATGGCTTTGAACCAGTGAATAGAATCAATAAAAAGGAACTATGGAGACTATTACCTTAATTTTACATAGAGCTTTGTGTTTTTCAAAACCTTTCACCTGCATTATTTCACTTGATCCCTACCTCAACCCCACAGGGATTATTATCATAAATATCTAAAAAAAAAAAAAAAAAGAGGAAATTGAGGACCAAAGACTGTTACTCTCTTGAAGTAGGAAAGAAGCTAATGGTAATGAAAGAAATGACTACTCCTCAGGGACATTTTGTTCTCTTCTAACCAAACAATAGCCCCACATGATAGGTACTATTATTGACAAAGATACTAAATGGCAGAGCCAGGATCATAGGCCATGTCATGTTTATTATAGTGATAGCGACAAAACATGGCTTAGTGTTACAGTGAATGTAACTGGGCAAGAATTCTTGATGTCAAGCATTCTGGACATCGTGAAGCAGTGGATTGTCTGAAATGGGTGGTATACATGTAAGAAAGTAATAAGTGACACAATGTAAGAAGTACAGGCTATTAAGGCAAGATTATCTGTGTTTAAATTCCAGCTGTACTGGGGCTGTGACTATAACTCAGTGGTAGAGCATTTGCTTATATGTGTGAAGCCCTGGGTTCGATCCTCAGCACCACATAAAAATAAAAAAAAAATAAACTAAAGGTATAAAAAATACAATACCTTATTTTTTCTTTTTTTAAATAGAGCCTTTTAAAAAAGAAAAATTCAGGGTGGGGCTGTAGCTCAGTGGCAGAGCGCCTGCCTGGCACGTGTGAGGCACTGGGTTCTATCCTCAGCACCACATAAAAATAAATAAATAAAGATAAAGGTGGGGGGGAAAGAGAAAAGAAAAATTCCACCACTCCTTGGTTTACACAAAAGGACTTAAAATCAGCATACTATAGTGATGCAGCCACATCAATGTTTATAGCAGCTCAATTCACAATAGCTAGACTATGAAACCAACCTAGGTGTCCCTCAATAGATGAATGGTAAAGAAAATGTGGTATATATGCTCAATGGAATATTATTCAGCTTTAAAGAAGAGTAAAATTATGGCATTTGCCAGTAAATGGTTGGATTTGGAGAATATTCTAAGAGAAATAAGCCAATCCCCACAAAACCAAAGACTAATAAATGTTTTCTCTAATATGTGGATGCTAATTCACAATAAGGCAGGACGGGGGTGGGAGCACCAGGGAAGAATAGCATTACCTTAGATTAGGTAGAAGAAGTGATAGGAGGGGAGGGGAGGGGATGTGGGGATAGGAAAGATAGTAGAATGAAATAGACTGTATGTATATATGTGACTGCATGACCAATATGATTCTGCAACATATACACTCAGAAAAATGAGAAATTACATCCCATCTAGTATGATATATCAAAGTGCATAAATGCATTCTACTGTCATGTATAACTAATTATAACAAATTAAAAAATTAAAAAAATTTCCAGCTATATTAGCTAGCTGTGTGACCTTAAGCAAGTTAGTTTACCTCTCTCAGCTCCATTTTCTTTGTGTATCAAATGGAAAAAAAAAAGATCTTAACCTCATAAAGTTGATGTAAATATTATAGGGCTGGGGATATGGCTCAAGCGGTAGCACGCTCGCCTGGCATGCGTGCGGCCCGGGTTCGAGCCTCAGCACCACATACAAACAAAGATGTTGTGTCCGCCGAAAACTGAAAAATAAATATTGGAATTCTCTCTCTCTTTCTCCCCCCTCCCTCTCTCTCTCTCTCTCTCTCTCTCTCTCCCCCCCCCCTCTTAAAAAAAGTAAATATTATAAAACAAAGTTAATGAAACAGTAACAAATATCAGTTATCTTCCTCAATAAAAACATTTCTCTGGCAAGCTGAGAAATTATAGAGCTGAGGTAGACAAAGGTCTCTTGGTAGGGAATAAAGACAGAAACATGGAATAGAAGGCACATGGCAGACTTCATTTTTATAGGTAGCTACCTCAAGCAGTTACAGCTCAAGGACTCCTTCCTTTAAGAAGATTTCTCTGCCTCTGAGAGTCTGAGTCCTTCCAAGGTTAAAAATTCTTGTTTACCTCTAACTTAGCATGCAGTATCTCTTTACTTGTCTATTTTCTCTTCTAAATACTAAATAAGTCTCCCTGTGGGAGGGAAAAGGAGGTACTGGGGATGAACCTGACCAAATTATACTGTTATATTGTGTGCATATATAAATATTTAACAAATCTCACTGTTATGTATAATTATAAAGCACCAATAAAAAGTTAAAAAAAAAAGAGCATCCTCTGTAAGACAGATGTGCAGTGACTTTTGTGGAAAAGAGAAATAAGAGGAAAGAAAGGGAAGAAGAATAGTTCCCTCCCAATAATAGTTTTGGCTAAGATTAAAATGAGATTTGTAATACTTTCTTACCTTAACTGCATAGTTACTAAGTGGATCTTTTGCATAGGAGGCAGTGTAATAAACTGCATCGCCTGCTTCACAACATGGCTTGTCACTGGTTAGCCTAAAGTCTGACCAGCTGTCCACCCCAAAACGGAGCTGGTCTTTCTGTCCAGCCATAAAGAGGTCTTCACATTTAATAGCCAGTTTCTTCAAGGCATCTGTATGAAGGCTTCGAATTTTACCCACTACTTCCTCCCGATTTTCAAGTCCTCGATAAAGTGCTTGTCTCTGTGGCTTCTGCATGCCTCGACTCTGTCTGCAAGAGGGACCACGTCGGCTGGACAGGGACTCCATGCTGTTGGAAAATCTGTCCTTAATACTGAGAGTGGTTAAGCTGGAAATGCTGTTTGCTGCGGAAGGGACAGGTCGCTCCCTGTGCAGAGGCCTCTCCAAGGAGTCATAAGACTCAATGTCCAGTCCTTTGAGTTCATAGCTGATGGAAGAACCAGCACTGCTAGCATCCCAGTTGGGGTCAATATCATAGGTGGGATTGGCCATGACACAAAGACTACTTTCCATGGATTTCTGGATATCTTTAGAGATTGGCTCTGTATTAGCTCTTATGATCATTTTCTTTGGCAGTGGGGGTGGTGTGGGTTGGGAAGCATTTGGTGCTTCTCGGTCTGTTTTCCCTCCAAAGGAAATGGCATCATCCAAAGCTCCCTTGGGCTGCCGAGGATGCTTGGGAGGTATCATGGCTGCTCTAGATTGCCCTGTGTTATTTCAAAAGAAAAAAGAAAAGAGAATAATTAAGCAAATTTTCCAGATTTGTTTCATAATTGAAACTTGAGTAGAAATGAGTGAGGTAGCCACAGGGGATGTAAGAATTATCCTATGCTTTCATTCAAAATGGAAAGCAACTGAAGAACACACACCTAAACATTGAAGGCATGAGTCTAAGACTTGGTGGGAGTAACAAGTATGAATGTCTCAGCATTTCTCTGCTACAGGAACAGGGCAGTAGTTTGTGTGATGGGCTTTCTTTTCAAAAAAAATAATCCAGAGTCTGGGATTGTGGCTCAGCAGTAGAGTGCTCACCTTGCATGTATGAGGCCCTGGGTTCGATCCTCAGCACCACATAAAAATAAAATAAATAAATAAAGGTATTGTGCCCAACTACAACTAAAAAATAAATATTAAAAAAAATAATTCAGATTCTCTAGTCCTGCCCCCAAGAGTGCTATAATTCACTACTTCACAATACTAAAGAATCACAGACATTCAAAAACATTTGCATTGTGACAGAATAAAGATGATAGCATTTGTGGATCAAGAAAATACTTAGGGAGGAGATCCATCATGGTGGCGGGCGGAGAGGCAGTGCTTTCAGTACCCCCTCAGTGATGGGGTCAGAGAGACACATAGATACGCTTAGATTCTACCTGTGGAGAATCTCCTAGCAAAATTCCACTGAAGAGAGACCGGTCGGGAGTTACTAGGATTTTTGGAAGTGACAGTTTGCCCCAGACGAGTGAATCCCCGCCACGAGATGCAGAGGTGCAGACCCGCCAGCAGCTGTCTGCGTGCCGCGGCATGGCCGCCTGCCCGTAGCCACCGTGACTGGGTGGCTAGCCTCCGAAATGCAGCTTGGCAGAAAGAGGTCTTTAGTCAAGCCTTCATGAAATAGTGAGCCAGGAGCTGAGGCCAACCGGGGAAAGACAAGTCCTACCCCTCCATTCGGACACTCCGGCAAGGAGCCTGGGGCCCGCCATAGCAGAGAGGTGATGTCACCGGAGTTCAGCTGACGGAATTCCTTCCCAGCGGAATCCACTTTAGCAGGTGTGTGACTCCCACCCCATCCAGATACAAGCAGCCAGGAAACCTCAGGGATCTCTCCGGGGGCGTGTCTGTAGGGAAGCAGAGGGGATTCCCGACCCCCAACCCCCCATATCACCAGCGGCGACTCCTAAGGTCTTAGCTGCCAGTTTACCACAGCACTGGGGCTTAGATGGGATGTGCGGTGGGGCTGCAAGTGTAACTAGATCTTTGGGGAACTGCTTCAGGTGAACAGGACCTGGCTGGCCAGCTGACAGGAGGAAGAGGGGAGGGGCCGGAGAAGTGAAACGGCTATGGACTGACAAGATTGAGAGACTCCCAGGAGCCGCCTTACAAGGATTGCTATCGGCATGTAGAGGGTAGAAGCTCGGCTTGGAGGGCACAGCTCTGCCTACTGGAAGAGAAGAAAATGGGTCTCTAAGACTTCAATTTTTTTTCTTTTATTCTTCTCTCTCTGTTCTTTTCCCCCCTTTTCCTTCTTTCTTTCTTTCCCGTTTCAAGTTTTATTGTTCTTTTCATTCTCCTCTATCTATCTCTCTCTCTCCTTCTTTCTTTTTAAGAGCACCTTCCTTCCCCTATCCCCCAATGTTCATCCCAAGCAGTAGGTCTTCCATAACGTGTAATTGTTTAAATGCAAATAGGTGAATGTTTCGAGGCTGTCTATAGGGCTCCTAAATACCTAGCTACTACCAACACCCTGATCCAATCGCCTGTTAGTATCTCACTTCAGTAGAGCAATCTTCTAAAGTAGCCAAGACATACTAACCCTCATACCATCATAGCACCTAACCTAAACATAAAGTCCTAAGAACAAACAACAAATCACTATATGCATACAGAACCCGGAAGCCTTTTATGAATTGAATGAATCAGCTTTAAAGTACAATAAAGCCCAACATTTCTAGGCATAATCTCCCACCACAAAGGAGAGACAACAGAGATATACAAAACCAAAACAAATTTATAGGAGAAAGTAGTTACACAGCAGTCAAACAGAGCTGGAAAGTAACGTGAACAACATGAAAAAACAAGGAAAAAAGGATTACAAATTATGCAGGACAACTTAAATCTACAGGAGGACCTAGAAGCATCAGAAACATGGACAGGGAAAGAACTCAAGGCATACCTAACTCAGATGGAACGGAATATTAGAGAAGACATGAGACAGCAAGTCCAAGCAATGAAAGTATATTTTGAAAACGAATTAAACAAACAAATTCAAACTGCAAAGAACGAGCTTTACCAGGAGATAGAGATTAAAAAACAAACAAACAAACAGTAATCCTAGAAATGCAGGAAACCATAAAACAAATTAAAAACTCTAATGAGAATATTACAAATAGACTAGATCAAGTAGAAGTCAGAACATCAGATAATGAAGACAAAGTTTATCAACTTGAAAAGAATGTAGTCAACACAGAAAGGATGCTTAAATCTCACGAGCAATCTATCCAAGAGATATGGGATGTCATAAAAAAACCAAACTTGAGAGTCATTGGGATAGAAAAAGTTATAGAGGTTCAAACCAAAGGAATGGACAATCTATTAAATGAAATAATCCTAGAAAACTTCCCAGAGATGAAAGATGGAATGGATTGCCAAATCCTGGAAGCATACAGGACCCCAAACATTCAAAACCGTAATAGACCAACTCCAAGACATATAATTATGAAGATAGCCAACATAGAGAACAAGGAGAGAATATTAAAAGCTACGAGAGAAAAGAGGCAGATTACATTCAGGGGTAAACCAATTAGGTTAACGACTGATTTTTCACAGCAGACTTTGAAAGCGAGAAGATCCTGGAACAACGTATTTCAAACGCTGAAAAATAATGGATT